AGGTGTGAGGTGATATCTTATTGTAGTTTTGATTTGTATTTCCCTGATGGTAAGTCATGATGAGCATCTTTTTATGTGTCTGTTGGCCATCTGGATGTCAACTTTGGACAAATGTCTGTTCGTGTCTTCTGCCCATTTTTTAATTGGATCATTTGGTTTTTGGATGTTGACTATTTGACGATTTTTAACCCTGTGAGTTTGCTCACTTATGGTAAAACAAAAGCTAAAAATTGAGACTCCTTCAGAAAGCACTTGCTGACTTCTCTTATTACCTGCATGGGAGTGCTTCCTGTGCCCTTGGGCCTAGTCTGAATCGCTGTCCTAAAACAATTTCCAGACTAGACATTTTCACTGGGATGCCCCAGGGTGCCTCCAACCCTGTATGTTAAAACAAACGCCTGATCTGTTCTAGTTCCCCTGTTTGTCCTATGCCAACCCCATTCCCCCACCACCCCAAACAGTACCCACCGCCCCCTCCTTCACTTCATTTTTGTCATTCATATAGTCCTACCAGTTAGGACTTTTACCTACAGAATTTCTAGTCTCCCTACCAGTGGCTTACCTTCTTCATCTGTTACCTGGACTTTTGAACCAGGGCCTTCCACCTTACCCACCTACTGAAACCAGTCATCTATTCATCTTTCTAGCATGGAGTATACCTGGCCCCTTCCAGAGAGAGCCTGACTTCTTTTGAGCTTTATTTTATGACAAGGAATGCTTTTTTTTTTTTTTTTAGCATAAGTATGTCCCAAATATTGTATGGAGCATTCATTGTTAGAAGGTAGAGGAGGAAGAGTAGTAATTTCTCCCAAACTGAGAAGGCAACTTTGAGACTGGAAACCGAAGCAGGCAACTCGATACAATTTATACAGAGTTTTATTTAGGGTAACTTACTGAGTGTGGGGGTGAGGGGTTGTGGGGGGTGGATCTGGCAGAGAAGGATCCGGGGCAAGTGCAGTTATTCTCTGCAAAGTCTGGGCCTTAGTTTGGATTTTACAGAGGGAGGGGACATGCGTGAGAGCACTGTCATGAGGTCAGAGGGTTCACATGTACCTAATTGACAGCTAACCTTTAATTAGATCTTTTGGCACCACCTGTGCCTCAGGAAGAGGGAAGACCATGTTCTATCTAACTGATTCATAGGGCCAAACAAGCCTCCCCCAGCCTCCATCTGGGCTTGGCAGGCATTTCTAAGTATATTAATCTCCAGGGTGCCCTGAACACCCAGCCCCAAGAGAGGTCATCAAGTGAACACAAACCAGCAGGAGGGCCAAAGATGGAGTCCGTACTGTCAGCACTCCTGCAGATGTACTGAGACTAAAAAATCTGTCATTGTGCAAAATTTAAATTTAACTATACACTTTGTATTTTATCTGGTAATCCTACACATGCTACTTTGTTTTGTAGCCTGTTAAAAAATACAGTAGTGTCTCTATTCTTTTACATCTTGAACTGATCTAAAAAAAAGAAAATTGCGGTTGTAGAAACTTTCTGACTACAAAATATTTGACATTTCTTTAGGAAATCTTGTGTATCTGTCTGTTCAGAGACAAGGACCTATACTAATTGGTTCTCTCAGCAACAATGCATTTTTGCCCGAGGCATTTACTTGAAAACACAGGCTATTTTGGAAAAACATGTTTCAGATTCAGGTATTATAATGACTGCAGACATTTTCTGAGTGGAGGGAATCTTCGTTCAGGAAAATGAACTCCAATTAAATTTAGTTTTCCTTTTGCTGATGGAAATCTGAGTAGCCTTTAAGGTAATTTCTGGAGAGGGGCATCTGGGTGGCTCAGTTGGTTGAGCGTCCAGCTCTTGGTTTCGGCTCAGGTCATGATCTTGCAGTTTGTGAGTTGAAGCCCCGCGTTTGGAATTCTTGCTCTCTATCTCTCGCTTTGCTACTCCTCTCTCCCTCCCTCTCCCTCTCTCTCTCTCTCTCTCCCTCTCTCAAAATAAATAGGCTTAAAAAAATCTTTTCTGAAGAAAAAACTAGCTTGTCATGCTTCAATTTTACTTCCAGCTTTGTGTCATTTTTTTTCCCTCTGCGATATTTTTTTGTCTTGTGAATAACAGTTACAATGTGATTTTCAGCTTATTGTTTTGTTCTGAAGAATGTTCCACTTTGATGTTAATAAGAAGCAAAGTTTCTTTTCTTTTTTTTTTTTAATAACCATTGACTAAATCTTTATTTTCCAACATTAGTTAGAAATATACTGCTTGTTTTTATTATGGAAGATTAAAAAATTTTTTATTTTATTTTGTTTATTTTTGAGAGACAGAGACACAGAGCACAAGTGGGGAGGGGCAGAGAGAGAAGGAGATAGAATCCGAAGCCGGCTCTAGGCTCTGAGCTGTCAGCACAGAGCCTGATGTGGGGCGCTAACTCACAAATCATGAGATCATGACCTGAGCTGAAGTTGGACGCTCAACCAACTGAACCACCCAGGCGCCCGCCCCTATTATGGAAGATTTTAATCATTCTGGTAATGTATATAGGTTTTACATTGAAACCTTCTAGTTGGACTAGAAGAAACCATTGCCAACATTTATCAGAAGATTAAGACTCATAAATAACAGTGTCAACAGATCAAAAAAAAAAAAAAAGCTCAATTAATAGCCAATTCAGAGAGAAAAATACAGATAGCCATAAATTTAACAAAAGATGTGAACACTACTCATAATGAGGACATTGAAACAAGATAGTGTTTTTTATTTTGGGGGAGGAAAATTTTTCCTCACCCTTCAAGAATTTCCTGGCTGGTCTAAAAATTGAATTGATACAAGACAGATTAATAGGGGAAATCAAACTTAATGTCATACTTTCACAGAATCCACATAATCTCATAAACATGAGATTCCAAAGATAGACAAAATGAGGTATATATGTCATCCTGAACTAAGGAGAAGGGGGAAGGAGCTTGAGACTTCGAGACTCCGATGGGAAGGAAGGCAATTTACTGGAAGATAAAGGGTAAATGCTTGGTAAACAGATTTGCTGGGCCATATGGAAGCAACGGACAGAGGAATTTTCATAAACAGACCTTGCTGAATTCCTCCTTGTCTACTACCTAGTTCATAGTATGCTGTAGTTTGTTCGTTTTTCTTTCTTTCTTTCTTTCTTTCTTTCTTTCTTTCTTTCTTTCTTTCTTTCTCTCTCTCTCTTTCTTTTCTTCCTTTCTTTCTTTCTTTCTTTTTTTTTTCAACGTTTATTTATTTTTGGGACAGAGAGAGACAGAGCATGAACGGGGGGAAGGGCAGAGAGAGAGGGAGACACAGAATCGGAAACAGGCTCCAGGCTCTGAGCCATCAGCCCAGAGCCCGACGCGGGGCTCGAACTCACGGACCGCGAGATCGTGACCTGGCTGAAGTCGGACACTTAACCGACTGCGCCACCCAGGCGCCCCTCTTTCTTTCTTTCAAAGAGAGAAGCAGGGCGTACCTGAAGCAGGGCTCAAACTCAACGAATGGTGGGTGAGATCATGACCTGAAGTCAGATGCTTAACTGACTGAGCCACCCAGGTGCACTGTGCTGTACTGGTCTATGGTGGTAGCTCCCTTACTGGAACAAGTCCTCTATTAAATTCTCCCCTGCCCCCATCTAATTTTTTTTTAGGCAATTAGCAAGGAAGGCCAAAGTTTTTTGAGTGTTCTGGAACTTGATTGTTTTCAGATCAATGTAATTCTCACACCAAAGTGGCATATCTTGGGGCCATTTGTTATGAACTTTTACTTTATCTTTAAATTGCAGGTTCAGGTTGGAAATGTGAGCAGTCTCAGATATTACTGATGAGACATGAATTGCTACAGTCTTTGAAGTGTGGTTTGACTCTAACTCTTGAAACTAAAACTTGATTCCATTTCTAGGTCAGGAGTCTTTCCTGTATAAATAATGGCATGTGTGCAGTGAGGAGGCATAGCAATGTTTATTGAGTCAGCATTTGTAATAGCAAGAAAACATATAACAGGAAACAAAAAATTGTCCCTAACAAGTTCAGTGTGGGAAGCTTACCAATTTTGATCTAGAATTCTTACTATAAAATATTAAATAGTGGTTAAGAAGTGGGTTGGGATTTTATGTATAATTAATAGGGAAAGATCTCCACGGCTTACTGTTAGTTGGAAAGAAACATCACAGAACAATATGTATAATCTTTTATTTAATAAAGCTATTTTTTGTATATACTATATACATGGTACCATATGTGTGTGTGTGTGTGTGTGTGTCTGTGTGTGTGTATTGTGACTAAGTATGGGGATGAGGACACACACACCTGAACTAATAAAAATACCCACCAAATTGTTAACTCTCTTGAGGAGAGGAGTGACATTTTGGGTCAGGAGTGAAGGAAGTTTCTCACTTTTATTCTGTATGTTTATGCTTTTCAAGAAAAATGACAAGTATAATTTTTAAAAATTCTGATGCTAGATTTCAAAATTCATTAGGATAAGTAAAGGTGAAGTGGTATGCTATGAGCACTGTGTCTTTAAAAATGATTCAGAGAGGGGCGCCTGGGTGGCTCAGTCGGTTCAGCATCCAACTTCAGCTCAGGCCATGATCTCACAGTCCGTGGGTTCGAGCCCTGAGTCGGGCTCTGTACTGACAGCTCAGAGCCTGGAGCCTGCTTCGGATTCTGTGTCTCCCTCTCTGTCTGCCCCTGCCCTGCTCATGCTGTCTCTGTCTCAAAAATAAATAAAAACATTAAAAAATTAAAAAAAAAATGATTCAGAGAAAATTGTTTGTTTCTCTATGCCCAAAGTACATTTCCACATTGGACTTTGATTTGCAGGCTCAGGGAACACTTCATGACAGCCCCTCTTTACCCAACTTTATTATTATTATTTTTTAGAAGTTTGTTTATAAAGTAATCTCTGCATTCAACATGGGGCTCAAACCCACAGGCCCAAGATCAAGAGTCAAATCTCTTCCGCCTGAGCCAGCCAGGGACCCCTCTCTTTACCCAGTTTTAACAGATGACTTTTTTCTGTTTTTTCCTCAGATTCCTTTTTACGAAGATATCTGTAAAGGCATTAAAGCTGGTGACACCTGTGAGAAACTAGTGGGGTATTCTGCCGTGTATAGAGTTTGTTTTGGAATGGCCTGTTTCTTCTTCATCTTCTGCCTTCTGACCTTGAAAATCAACAGCAGCAAAGGTTGTAGAGCGCATATTCACAACGGGTGAGTCTTCAGTCTTGGGGGGTTGGTTTCTCCCTTTTTATTTTGAATAGTTATTTATTTTGAGAGAGAGGGAGTGTGAGCAGGGGAGGGGTAGAGAGAGAGGGAGTGAATCCCAAGCAGGCTTGGCACTGTTAGTGTGCGGGGCTCTAACTCACAAAGCATCAATCCGATCACGACCTGAGCCAAAATGAGGAATCAGACGCTTAACCGACTGAGCCACCCAGGCGCCCCTAGTTTCTCCTTTCCTGATATTCAGAATAGTGTTCCTTGACCTCTTCTAATCCGACCATCTGACTGCTCTTCCTGTAGTTGAAATTGTTGACACTCGTTTTCGGGAAGAGGGGATTTGTCACCCCTCAGTGGCCCAAGAATTAGAATTCTATTGGTCATGCCAGTACCACAGTGAGAGATGCAGCAGAGATAGGCGTTTTTATTTCTAGTACTAAGACCTACCCGTAGGTCATTTCCACCCCCCTGCAACAAAGTGGTGTTTTGCGCAATCAGCGGCTATGCTGAATTGGTCTTAATTATGGGACAAGGCAGTCTCCAGTCACTTAATTACTTCCTCTCGATTTGGAAGGAACAGTACCAATGGTAGAAACATGGACTGACATGCTTACCTTCTCTCTCTCTCTTTTTTTTTTTTGAGAGAGAGAGACAGAGCATGACTGGGGGAGGGGCAGAGAGTGAGGGACACAGAATCCGAAGCAGTCTCCAGGCCTGAGCTGTCAGCACAGAGCCCGATGCAGGGCTCGAACCTATGAACCATGAGATCATGACCTGAGCCGAAGTCGGATGCCTAACCGACTGAACCACCCAGGTGCCCCCTGACATGCTTACCTTATAAAAGGTCTTTTGTCCTTCCATGAATATCATTTAAATACATTTCCTCTTTTTTTTTTTCTTTCCAGCTTTTGGTTCTTTAAACTTCTGCTGTTGGGGGCCATGTGCTCAGGAGCTTTCTTCATTCCAGATCAGGAGACCTTTCTGAATGGTACAAATGGGGTATTTGGGGTACCTATTTATTTTGTTCTTACCCATTTTGTAAAATTGTTCAAAAGTGTAGTCCAGGGTGCCTTTGATATTTCCAATTAGTGATTTTCTTGTGGTTTAATAAAAAAAAAAAAAAATTCCTGCCTTACCTGCTCACACTGTATCCACCTTCCCCACTCCCTATCCCTTCCTGTTCACTCCTCTTTCTCCATCTAGATCTTTCCCCTATTCCCTCCCTTTATGGCCAGGTGCTACTTTACAGCCTGGAGAATTCAATTGATAATTTTAAGGTGATTGGCCTGAAGGGAAAATGGGGCCCTGCAAGTCTGTCTGAAAACCAGTTTAGCATGTCAATATGACACCATCACTGAAGGGGTTCTGGGAAGCCTTGTTCTTTCTGAGCACTGCCCGGAAATCTGCCTACGTGGAACACGAGGCTACTGAGTTTTAAATCAGCTGTAGCTATAATGAGATAAGAAAGGCATCATCCAGCCTTATTTCTAAACTTACCTATGTGAAACTGTATATAATATTGGATTACATTTCTTATTCCTAGAATTTCCCAAACTTAATTTAATTTGGAACCGTTAATCATAGCTGAAACAGGGGCCCTTCTACATGAAAACTAGGGAGATTCAAAACATTGTTTAACCCAAACGAATTCATTTTCCTAATTAAGGTAGTAAAAACATTCACACTGTGTCAGTCCCTAAGGAACAGCCTATGGCCCCTCAAATGGTCACTAGGGTCTGGCTAGTTTTTAGGGGCATAACAAGCTACATGCACTCCTGAAGGAGGTCCTCTTGGAGTCTTATTTTTTCCTAAAATGCTGTTAACTAGTTTTCTGTTCCCCACAGATGTACTTTTATGTGTTAGAAAGATAGATTTAGAATGGGATGGGGCCAACAGTTCTTTTTATAGACAACTGCAGTTCAGCCATTTTCATAGACAACCTGTAACCTAGAGACATGGCACAGAAGGTTAGAGCTTCCTTGTAGCAGAGTGAGGAGTGGATCTGAGTCCGTGGCCCCCAGTCTGACCCTCATTTCCTTACTAATCTCTGGTGGCTCACTGCCTTTTTTCTTCTTAAGATGTGTTTTTACTTACAAATCGTGGGTCGTTGTTGATTTTGTGAATAGCTGCGTCTTTTAGGGTAGCTGTCAGTTACAGTGTGTAGGTTCAGCTTAGATGCTCAAGAGCCACACACACTGCTTTGTGTTCACATCCCAGCTACGTCCTTTACTGGCCATGGGACATTTTTTTTTTTTTTAACGTTTTATTTCTCTTTTGAGAGACAGAAAGAGACAGAGTGTGAGCTAGGGAGGGGCAGAGAGAGAGAGGGAGACACAGAATCCGAAGCAGCTTCCAGGCTCTGAGCTGTCAGCACAGAGCCCCATGCGGGGCTCACACCCACAAACTATGAGATCATGACCTGAGCCGAAGTCGGACACTTAACTGACTGAGCCCCGTGGTTGTGGGACTTTGTCGATTTGCATAGACTCTCAATTTTTCTCATCTGTAAAGTGCGTATAACAATAGCACCCATCTTATACGGTTGCGTGGAAATTAAATGTGTTGCAGGTACAGTAAGAATGTAGTAAAGATAAACTGTAGTCATCATTCTCCTTTAAGCTCAGCACTTGGAGTGATCCCCTCACCTCCTTTTGGATGGTCTTCTTTTGCAGCCTGGCGCTATGTGGGAGCCGTCGGGGGCTTCATCTTTATAGGCATCCAGCTCATCCTGCTCGTGGAGTTTGCACATAAATGGAACAAGAACTGGTATGTGCATTTTGGGAAGGTTTCCAAGTGAACTCAGGGGGAAACTGCCTGCAGTACGGTGTTGATAGAGGGTCTACCCCGAACTGTGTTGGCAGGGGTGGGCAGCCTGCTCCTGCGAGAAACAGGTTGGCGCACTTTCCCTTCATTCCTCTCCTCTACCGGTTTTCCTCTCCTTTCTTCCTTTCCTTCTTCCATGTTATTTCTTTTTCACTTTTTGGCTTTTCCCTCTGTTCTCTCATTTGGGCTCTGAGTCAGCTGCTGTTGTGACTTAGCCACACTCACATCCATTGCTGGCACCTCTTGGCCCTGGCTCCCCGGTTGTGACGCTAGGTGCCTGAAAACTTGGGGCAGGTTTTATCTTATGCCTCCATCCTCAGGAGATTTAGAAAAAAGTACTTTGAGGGCACCTGGGTGGGTCAGTCAGTCTGACTCTTGGTTTCAGCTCAGGTCATGATCTTTCATGAGTTTGAGCCCCATCAGGCTCTGCACCAACAGTGCGGAGCCTGCTTGGGATTGACTCCCTCTTTCCCTCCCTCTCCCCCACTCGTGCTGTCTCTGTCTCTCTCAAAGTAAATAAATACACTTAAAAAAATTTTTTTTTTGGTTCTTTCTCAATCTGCCTAAGATTATAAAGACCCTTCATTACGAAGATCTGTTGTGCTACCTTAGAAAGCCATCCTGAATTTAAAAATGTAGATTCTTTCTAAGCGCCTTGAGCATGGAATTCACATCCTAGGATAAGTAGGAAATGCCGAATTATTAATAGCTAGTTTGATTTCTCGCTGAGCCACACAATTCAGGAAATGGCAACTAGGTAAGTGTCAGCCCCTTGAGTGCTAAAGGCCAGGCTGACTCCCTTTGTGCCCCCAGGCAGGGTACTTTGCTGCTCTTGTTTGCTTAGCTTCCTTATAAAATAACAAATGAGAATAACTATCTATTGTGCCTAGGAAGACTTCTTGTTGTTTTGTCATTTTTATTCACATTATGTTATTTTAAACTGTTTTGGAAAAAAGAAATCAGAAAATAATGTATGAACGTGAAATTTATTTTTTCTCTTGGACAAAACAAAATATACGGTCCAGATTCCCTCAAAATAACTTTTCATTCTGATTATATTCCTCAGCTTGGTGGTAGTTAGTGTTTCATTGGGTTTGGTTTTGTTTCTTTAGAGATCAAATCAAGAGATGCCTGAGTGAAAGGCTAGTGTTATCATTTTATAATTTAGTGAATACTAAATTCCCAAATACTTAATAGTCAGTTTCTAAAATATTTACAACACATAGAGGAGTCACATAACTGATACTACAGAAATTTATTTTGTCTAATATAAAATCATTCTAAATGTTTCCTAAAATTCTTACACATATAGGTCAAAATAGGGAACTTCATGGTGGAAGAATACCGTTTTTGATACTGGGTGCCTGATTTACCCAGTAAGCAGTATGTTCTCTTGACAATATTTGAGCTTCTTTACTCTGACTTGAATGTTTTGCTCAGTTCTGAAGCCATTTTCTGGGACTAATTATTCATGCTAAGTTTTAACAGGCATTTTGGAAGAGTTTGGCTGCTGTAAAAACCTTCCAGAAACCACTCAGTAAGAACAACTTAAGTGCTTTGCAACCGATGATGTTGCTATTGTCTACACATTGAGGCCAGTATCCCAACAAAATCCCTTAATGTCAGCATATTCATAGTTGATTTGTCTGCCTAAAATTAGGATTAAGCTAGGCAGCTCACTAATAATGTATTTTCAGATAAATTAATCAAATTTACTAGGTTTGTTTTTTAACAGAGACTATTGCTTACGAGGATAGTCTAGAAAATATAATACATCACTTTTCATGGAACAACCAAACTGCTTTTTCTTCCCTTTTCCTCTCTGTTTTCTCTCTCTCTCTCTTTTTTTTTAATTTTTTTTTAACGTTTATTTATTTTTGAGACAGAGAGAGAGCATGAACGGGGGAGGGGCAGAGAGAGAGGGAGACACAGAATCGGAAGCAGGCTCCAGGCTCTGAGCCATCAGCCTAGAGCCTGACGCGGGGCTCGAACTCACGGACAGTGAGATCGTGACCTGAGCTGAAGTCGGAGGCTTAACCGACTGAGCCACCCAGGCGCCCCATCTCTCTCTCTTTTTTTAAGTTTACTTATTTATTTTAGAGAGAGAGAGAGAGAGAGAGAGAGGGAGAGTGAGAAGAGAGAGACAATCCCAAGTAGGCTCCCTCCCGACTGTCAGTGCAGAGCCCCATGTGGGGCTTGATCTCACAAACTAGGAGATCATGACCTGAGCTGAAATTGAGAGTTGGCCGCTTAACCGACTGAACCACCCAAGTGCCCCTGTTTCCTCTTTTCAAGAAGTATCTTGAGAAGAAGATCCCAAAGGCAGTAGGACGGAGGCCATGGGTCCGGAAACCAGGAGACTGCAGGTGTCTGTCCCTCTGCTCCTCTAGATCGCTGTTTCCCTTTGGGCATATTACTTGGCCTCTCTGACCGCTGTTTTCACACCTGTAAAATAATATGGTCACGTTAGATGTTTAATTTTCTTTTTCCTTTCGACCTCAGATATTGTGATTTGAAGTGACACTTCTATATCAAAATTGAAATAGCAAAAAGTAGAAGGTACATTTAGGTGTTTCTAACAAAGACCCATTTTCTAAATGTGCTAGATTTGTCATTTCTGTTGTGGTTAGGTGTTATTTACTCCAGAACCCGAGCCCAGCCTGGTGCCAGCATACTGCTGGGTTGGTGCACTCTGCCCCGTTGTCTGGTCCTTTTCTAATCTGCTTTGAAGCACTTCTTCTCGTTTAGCATTTATTCACAGTTTTGGGGAGTACTAACTGTGTCCCAGACAATGTGGTAGGCACCGAGAGTATAAAGATAAGTAAGTCATGGCACTTGGGTTATCTGCAAAACAAGAGGTCATCAAGGAGGATGTCATGAATATGGAGCGGCAGGAATAGCAGCCATTCTCCTAAAACACTGCTGCACAAAGTTACTATTTTTTAATGCTTGTTTGTTCCGGAGAGAGAGACAGAGAGAGACAGAGAAAGAGACAGAGTACAAGTTGGGAGGGGGGGTGGGGCAGAGAGGGACGGAGACACAGAATCTGAAGCAGGCTCCAGGCTCTGAGCTGTCAGCACAGAGTCAGACACAGGGCTCAAACTCACAAACCTTGAGATCATGACCTGAGCTGAAGTCGGATGCTCAACCAACTGAGCCACCTAGGCACCCCCACAAAGTTATTTGTTAACAGTTGACATTTCTTACACTAATATTCAGTAGGCACCTGTTTGCCAGGCACTCAACAGCAGGAGAAGAGCAGTGAACACAGTGATGTCCTGCTCTATGAAGCTTACCTTCTCCTGTTGGGGAGGGCAGGAGGCATGGACAGATAACCAATTTATGATCAAGTAAATAAGTAACAGGTTCAATGGGAAAAGACCGGAGAAAAAGAAAGCAGGGTGTGGGGGTTGAGGAGAGCAGGGTAGGGAAAGGCTTCATGATCAGGTGTGAGGGAGACCACTGCAAACAGAAGGAAGTGTGGAGGCTGAGGCAGGACTGTGCCGGGCCCATGCCCGGCTTGTTTGGGGGCAAATGGGGGCCCACTGTGCTGCACCCCTGTGGTGAGGGATGGGCACCAGAGGTGAGGTAGGAGATGCCATTTGACCAGATGCTGTCGGGCTTCTGGGGCATTTGTGTGAGGTAGGAAGGGCATTAGTGGGGTTTGAAACCAGAGGAACGTGATACAAAGTATATTTTAATTCCAGGAAAGGTTAGGGGGTGTCAGAGATGCAAGTAAGGAGGCCCGTGGAAGATAATCCAGGTGAGAGATGGCTGTAGCTCAGACGATGGTAGCAGCAGTCAGATTCTAGTCTATTCCAAAATTGGAACTCACGGACTTTGCTGGTGGTGATGAGGAGGTGGGGTTGGGTGGGGGGAGGGAAAAAAGACTGTAGTCACGAGTTCTTTTCTTTTTTAAAAAAAGTTTCCCTTCCCAAAAGGAAGGAATGGAACTGCCATCTTCTGAGTTTGGGAAGATGAAGAAAAGCAGGATTAGGGGGTAGAGATGCGCATTTGGGAAGTCAGTTTGGACCAGGCCCCTTCCCCCGCCCCCTGCACTGAACAGTTGGATAATGTGAGTCTAAGGTTGAAGGGAGAGGTTAGGGTTGGGAATTTAACTTTGGGAATGTAGACCTATATTGACTATAAGGAAGTCTTCATATGCTAGCGACAGCCCAAAAGACCAGTAAAGGAACAGTTGCACCCCACCCACACACTGGTCAGCAGTGTTTGCCTTTCTCTATACATTGCATTCTGTTCCTGTCATCGATTACCATTTGGCTTCTACATCCACTCCCCCCCACCCCTTCTCGAGTCTTACTCTATTATTTCCTTCGTGTGCCTTTTATGTTAGACGAATTCTGTGGTCACTGGCGTGGTTTCAGGAATATGATGGTCATGATTTTGGTCTTCCCTCCCTATTTGTCTCTGGCTGCAGTAACTTTTTCATCATTAAAACATTTTAGCTGAGTTGCCTGAATACTTTCCAGTTCTGTGAAAACATTAAGCAAGTTGCTTTCTCTGTGAAGGTTTGTGAGAATGTGGTTACAGTGTGGCAGTTTAATCATAAGGCAGATGACAGTGATTCACCCGTGCTCCCTATGGTTCTATCGTCTTGACTGAGAGGTTTTGAACTCTTGTTTTGTTATTGTCCTCAACGATTTCTATAGATTGTTAAACCACCGCTCATTTCTCTTATCCCTTTATTAATATTTACATAAACTAGAGAGAAAATTAATCTCTTCTTTAAGGGTTTTTATTGTAAATCCCATTACAGTTTTTTGCTCCTTTCCTAGCTGATTTTATTCTTTTCAGACTCTCCCTTGGAGCATCTGGGTGGCTCAGTCAGTTGAGCATCCGACTTCAGCTCAGGTCATGCTCTCATGATCTCATGAATACAAACCCCTCATCAGGCTCTATGCTGACAGTGCAGAACCTGCCTGGGATTCTCCCTCTCCCTCTCTCTGCCCCTCCCAAAATAAATAAACCCCCTCTCAAAATAAGTAAACTTAAAAAAAAAAAAACAAAAAAAACCCAACTCTCTTTTAATCCTATGTGGCATCGCTTTGGAGAAGCAGTACCACTACAGACCCACCTTTGCAGCAGAGGGTTGAAAGGGCCGAGGTCATCCAGTCTTTGAGTGAAGTTTGTCTCTCCCTAAAGAGAAGATGGACATTAGCAGAAGCTGCTACAGCAGCCCCTCCAGGCTCTGTGTTGAGAGGGAAACCACAAAGAGAACTTAACTAAGAGCTACTTTTTTTTTTTTATTTAAAAAAAAATTTTTTTTAACGTTTATTTATTTTTGAGACAGAGAGAGACAGAGCATGAATGGGGGAGGGTCAGAGAGAGAGGGAGACACAGAATCTGAAACAGGCTCCAGGCTCTGAGCCATCAGCCCAGAGCCGGACGCGGGGCTCGAACTCACGGACTGTAAGTTCATGACCTGAGCCGAAGTCGGATGCTCAACCGACTGAGCCACCCAGGCGCCCCAAGAGCTACTTTTTAATACTGCCGAAACCTATCCCAGGGCGATTCCTTTTCAGAATGGGGAGGTTACGGAGCACCTGGGTGGCTCAGTTGGTGAAGTTTCCAACTTCAGCTCAGGCTGTGATCTCATGGTTTGTGTGTTTAAGCCCTGCATTAGGCTCCACACTTGGAATTCTCTCCCTCTCTCAGCCCCTTCTCCGCTCGCACCCATGTGTATGTGTGTGTGTGCACTCTCTCCCTCCTCTCCTCTCTCTTTCACAGTAAATTAAAAAAAAAAAAAAAAAAAAAGAATGGGGAGGTTAGAGTCAAGTCTGTGCAAGTACATTTTAGTTGATGAATACATATTTAAAAACGGAATGTTGTAGTGTTTAGGAAAAATTCTAAGCCTGAACCAAAATTGTTTTGAGATGTTTACCTGTACCTTCTAGCTTTGATTGAGCCTAACTGTTGATAAAATGATAATCTTCCGGACAACTGGGGTGATAGCGGCCTGGGGGCTGATAGCATTAGTTACCGCCTGAGAGATGGTCAGAGAACAGGGGCCTCATCACCTTGCCTTCTCTCCTCTCCCTCTTACCACTTCTGGAGAAACAGGACTGCCGGCACAGCTACCAACAAGCTGTGGTATGCTGCTCTGGCCCTGGTGACACTCGTCATGTACTCCATCGCCACCGGAGGCTTGATTTTGATGGCAGTGTTTTACACCCAGAAGGACGGCTGCCTGGAAAACAAAATTCTCCTGGGGCTGAACGGAGGCCTGTGTCTGCTTATTTCAGTGGTAGCCATCTCGCCTTGTGTCCAAAATCGTAAGCACAAGTTTTTTCCATCCCTCCTGATTTATATATTTTTTGTGTGTTTTTGACCAAACCCGATGTTTTTGTTTGTTTTGTTCTGTTTTTAAATTCTGGCCACTCCATAATTTATCATGGATGGGTCAGCAGTAGGAAGGGTGGGATTGAAGTCTTCACTTGGGCTGAATGGGATAGTTGGCATGCTTCTCGTCAAGAAAGATCTCAATGTAGTAAAGGCAATAAATAAGATAGCTATTACCATTATTATTTTTTTTAATGTTTGTTTATTTTTGAGAGAGACAGAGACAGAGCGTGAGCAGGAGCGGGGCAGAGAGAGAGGGAGGCACAGGATCCGAAGCAGGCTCCAGGCTCTGAGCTGTCAGCATACAGCCCGATGTGGGGCTTGAACCCACAAACCTTGAGATCATGACCTGAGTTGAAGTCAGACGCCCAACCAACTGAGCCACCCAGGCGCCTCAGCTATTAACCATTATTAATGAATGTACCACAAGGAGCATTTAAATGGAAGATGCCCTGATTGTACATTAAGTTCTTCCCTATAATCTCTGTGTAAAATTTGAATGAGAAGGCTGAGGAAGGAGTGCTTTCTGGGCTCATCTTTCACTCAAGGCCTGTGGACCAAAAATCAGGGACCATGTGGTCTAGGAGCGAAGAAGCAGGAAATTTGATCTGGCTGAGCCAGCAGCTGGCCCACGAGCTAACCTTCCTCAGATCCAAGTCCTTTCTCAGTAAAGCCAACAGAAATCTGTAAACCTGACATGACCTAAGGTTGTTTCAAAGGCAAATGGAAGAGGGGTGCCTGGCTGGGTCAGTCAGTTGAGCATCTAACTCTTAATCACCTGTTGATGAGTTCAAGCCCCATGTTGAGCATAGAGCTTACTTAAAAACAAACAAACAATCCACAAAGGCAAAGGGAAGAAATAATGGGCTTTTGGAAGTGCTTTAGAAAGTACAGACTCGAGTTGTCTTTTATAAACAATTCTGATGTCTTAAGCCAGACTGCCATCTTTGGTTATAGAAAGAAGTGTCCATGGCCTAATTTCCTTGTAGAAAAACAAATGACATTCAGGTTTCTAGATAGGAAAAGGGCAATGTGGCCAATAATTTATAGCTCTTCAAATCATTTCTAAAATGGTGATTTAATAAGTTAACTAGTATTGGTGTACCTGGATGGTTTAGTCCCTACTGGAAGAATGATCTCCAGGTCGTAAGTTCAAATCCCACATTGGGTATAGAGATACCTTAAATAAATAAACTTTAAGGAAAAAAAAATGAACTAGCATTGGATAATTTAAAGGTTTTCTGGCACTGAAAATTTCAAGTACATTATTGAAATTGAGAGTACTAATCTCCCAGTCCCTTTAACTGATCAGTTAAGAATTCCCTAAAACATATTAGTGTTCAGATTAAAATACTGTTTGGGTTAAATCCTACCTTTTAAAATAGTTGTAATATTTTGAAATATTTGGTTTAATGTCATTAGTTGCTAAGGTGAGTCTTACTCTCGTGCCAAAGAGCAACATTATAAAAGAGTCTATAACTCTTAATAACTACAACTCAAAACACATTTAATCAGAGGGAAGACTGGATGAAATAAATTTTTTCATGTAGACAGGTGGTAGAAAATTTCACCAAAATTTGATAAATTCTTTTTATCATATCTTGGTTATTCTGAATGATAAAAACACTTAGATTAGTTTAAATATTATAACATATTAAAGCCCTTCCTCAATGAATGCGGAGCCCCAGTGCCTTCCTCTTTGACCTGAACTTGTATCCCCACAAGTTTTTTTTGTCTGTTAACAGATTGGGCTTTTTTCCACTGTGCTATCTCTATCATTTACCTCACTAAGCTATGTGGTCTCACAAATAATGATGGTGAATTTTCTTCTGAGATCTTAAGATTTAAGAGCTAGTGTTAACCTCAGGAAGACTAGGCAGAGTGTTTAAGTACAGTTGTAGTTATTATTAAAATAACGTGATGGTAGGTAGAGAACTCGGCAGAACGTGGGAGTTAGGTTTGGCCTAATCAACCTTTTTAATGTTATTTGGAAAACATGTTATACCTCTTCTTTCCTTTAACGATGGGGGTCTCAGTTTGAAGAATATCATTTAGGGGTGGGGAGCCTTTTTTGGGGGGGGGGGCTTATTTATTGTTGAAATGTAAAATGCTGTGTTGAAATCTATCACTTTCACTTTCTAGGACAGCCACATTCCGGGCTACTGCAGTCGGGGCTCATAAGCTGCTATGTGACCTATCTCACTTTCTCAGCTCTCTCCAGCAAACCTGTAGAAGTAGGTAAGCCAGCTGGACTCTTAGGGAGCAGGTGTTTGTGGTATTAATATTTTCATTGCGGAGGAAGGAATATGTCTCTACTGAACTGTTGTTTAGAATGTCAAAGATGCGGGGCGCCTGGGTGGCGCAGTCAGTTAGGCGTCCGACTTCAGCCAGGTCACGATCTCGCGGTCCGTGAGTTCGAGCCCCGCGTCACGCTCTGGGCTGATGGCTCGGAGCCTGGAGCCTGTTTCCGATTCTGTGTCTCCCTCTCTCTCTGCCCCTCCCCCGTTCATGCTCTGTCTCTCTCTGTCCCAAAAATAAATAAACGTTGAAAAAAAAAAAAAAGAATGTCAAAGATGCAATAAATCGAAATAGAGAGATCTAGATTTTTCTCTAAATAAAGTCCTTAACGTGGGATGTGAAAATGAAAATTCCTTCTTCTGAGTCTTCCTGCTGTGTAGGAAAGACGGAAACAAAGATGGGCTGTTGAGTTTGCTTTTGGGCCTAATCTGTGTTTTCGAAGAACTTTTGTGTTTTGCTTATTTTTTTTTAATTGGTTATTAATTAATTTTCTTTAACTGGTGGTCATCTCTCTGTCAGAGAGACTGGGAAGAACATGGGAATGGGAAGCAGGAGACAGGATTTGACTTGCCTCTATCATATGCTGGCTGTGTGACTTCGAATCGCTCATCTTAAATAATGTTTATTTTTAGAGACAACAAAACATGTGTGAACTTTGGAGTCGGACCGCCTGGCTTTATAGCCTGGTTCTGCCCCTTCAGTAACTTGTAGAAAGTTATTTACCTCTCTCTGCCTAGATACCTTGTCTTTAAAATAAGGATTTTAATTATTATTTTAACAAGGTAATTAAGATTCTTATTTTATAGGATTGTTTTTAAAGAATTCAAAGAGAGAGAGAGAGAGAGAGAGAGAGAGAGAGAGAGAGAGAGAGAGTGTGTGTGTGTGTGTGTGTGTGTTCCTGGCATGTAATAGGTGCTCCATAAGGGTTAGCTGTTATTACAGAGTAGTTGAAATGATTACTGAAGAACTCTAAGAGTCCTATTATATTATAAATTGTTATAATAATGAGCACCTGAAACTTGCCAGTAAAAGACCAAAAGACCATTCCATCTTTTGATTTCTGAGCTCATTTTATTTCATCATCTGTTTCACTTTTGTGGTATATAAATGTGGATATAAATGTATACACACATATATACACATAATTATATATAAATGTGTGTGGGGGTACATTTTGTCTTGTATAAATAAGGTTAAATAAATATACTGTCTTTAGGAAATTGAAGTTGTTTTCCTTTATTAAATGTAGAAAAAATGCAAAGATAATTTTGAAAGTTTTATATACACATACTGTGTGAGTCTTGTCTTTATGGCTACTTTTGGTGCAAAATGATACAGTTGTAGGTCTTATATTAATTATAGTCTATCCTGGCTTCAGTTTTTTTAATAGCGCTATCTTGACTCTACTTAAAAAAATTTTTTTTTAATGTTTATTTATTTTTGAGAGAGAGGGGAGGGGTAGAGAGAGAAGGAGACGCAGGATCCAGAGGAGGCTCCAGGCTCTGAGCTGTCAGCACAGACACGGGGCTCGAATCCGTGAACCATGAGATCATGAACTGGGCTGAAGTCGGCCTCCCAACTGACTGAGCCACCCAGGCGCCCCTAAATCTAGTTTCTTTAAGACTTTCTTATATATGTATGTGTGTATTACACTTCAGCAGGGGAGGGGCAGAGAGAGAGGGAGAGAGAGAATCCCAAGCTGGTTTAGTGTTTTCAGCGCAAAGCCCAGGGGGCTTTTCCCAGGAACTGTGAGATCGTGACCTGAGCCGAAATCAAGAATTGGATGCTCACTCAACTGAGCCACCCAGGTGCCCCAACACTTTCTTTTATGACTATTAGTTTTTGGTTTTAATTTAATGAGGTTTTTGGTTACAGAATTTTTCTTTTAAATGGCAAGTATCACTTAAAAACAGAAAAAAACTTATTTTTAATTTCAGGTGGTACTACTTAAATAGAAAAGTTAGTATTTTGGTCAATTAAAAACATTTTATTGGGGTGCCTGGGAAATTTTATTTTTTGTTGGCCTAAGAATAAAGATTCCTTAAACCACAGCATACACAGTTATTTTTACTGTTTCAAATGTGGGTACCAGTAATAATTCTAGTCTGACTTCAAATAATTAGAATGTACATGTGTGTAAGATGATTTTTAGACTGTTAATTTATGTTTATGTTTCTTATTGGCAATCAGATCTAACTTGGATATTTAAAATTGAAGTTCTGGGGGCGCCTGGGTGGCGCAGTCGGTTAAGCATCCGACTTCAGCCAGGTCACGATCTCGCGGTCCGTGAGTTCGAGCCCCGCGTCGGGCTCTGGGCTGATGGCTCAGAGCCTGGAGCCTGTTTCCGATTCTGTGTCTCCCTCTCTCTCTGCCCCTCCCCCGTTCATGCTCTGTCTCTCTCTGTCCCAAAAATAAATAAACGTTGAAAAAATAAATAAATAAATAAATAAATAAAATAAAATTGAAGTTCTGGGGGTGCCTGGCTGGCTCAGTCAGTAGAGCCTACAATTCTCTATCTCAGGGCCATCAGTTCAAGTCCCATGTTGAGCGTAGAATTTACTTAAAGATAGATAGATAGATAGATAGATAGATAGATAGATAGGAGATTCCGTGTGAAGTAAAAAGTACCACTGATGGTAATATGATAGAAATCTTTATTATGATGTAGGCTTTCAAAATTTTTAAGAAATCCTGAAAATCTCAGAATATTCCCAGATTAGACACTATTTTTTCCTCCATCTTTGCAAGGTAATTTTCTTCTCTCCCATGGGTATCGGCAGCACTCATAGATTGTAATTTGAAACATTCAGAAAGCATGTACCTGAATATTGTCACATTTCTTTTTTTAAATGTTTTTATTTACTTTTGAGAGAGAGAGAACGAACATGAATGGGGGAGGGGAGAGAGAGAGAGAGAGAGAGAGAGAGAGAGAGGGAGACACAGAATCTGAAGCAGGCTCCAGGCTCTGAGCTGTCAGCACAGAGCCTGACGTGGGGCTCGAACTCATGAACTGCAAGATGGTGACCTAAGCAGAAGTCGGATGCTTAATCGACTGAGGCACGCAGGCACCTCTCACATTTCTTTACATTATGATTTAGTAATATTAGCCAGTTATGCCTATTAAATACAGTGAACAAAATGATATGTTTATACCATCCCCTTGTAAGCGAGGTTTTTGTGCATAATAGTAACAAATGGAATTAATGCAAACCGCAGTATTGTTGAGGAAAGACCTTTTCTTTAAATAAGCTATTCTGTTTATAAATAAACTGATTTTTTTAGCACCATAAATTTAGATACCTGATCAGTAAAAAGAAACACGACATATATATAAATTTTTTTAACAAAAGTGTAAAGAATTTAAAGAAATGAATCGCTATGGGAGAACTTTCCTGGGAAAGTGGGTAACAAGCAAGCAAAGGATACTAGAGTCATGACCATCCTGTTACTGGCAATTAAGGGACTTCACATCTGGGTAGAGGCTGTTGGTCAGGTGGCTATTGACCAGCTAGTCATGTCTGGTTGTTGAGTAGCCTCACCGCTCTTCCACAGAGGATAGACAACAGTGGAAACTCGCTAATGTCTGCATCCTACCTCTGTTCAGAGCCTGCTGAGTCAGCTGATAAATGGACCTAATGTTACTTTTTGCTACTGTTTGAATAGTACTGAGAAGAGCAAGACTCTTATTACATCATGGAACAGAAGAACCCTTTGGCGCTGGAGCTGGAATCTGAGGGTCTTGTGCTAAGAGGGTGCTTAGGTGGGAGGGAGTGCTTTGACATAGCAACAATCTAGTCTAGTCTGAGTCAAGTTGGGCTGTAGACTAGAAGTTTCCAATGATAAGTCTTCACTCTTCTAAAGATATGCAGATTTTCCCAAAATGAATGCGTCTGTGAGTTACAAAAAGCTTTTCTGATTAACTGTGATTATTTTGTCTTTTCGTCGTAAGTTCTAGATGAGCATGGGAAGAACGTTACGATCTGTGTGCCAGAGTTCGGCCAAGACCTGTACAGAGACGAAAACTTGGTTACTGGACTAGGTACCACTCTCTTGTTCGTGTGCATCTTATATTCATGGTAAGTCTTAGGAGATAACTTGAGACCATCCTTGCAGACTTAAAAATGCAGAGAAAAATTTAAGTAAGTTGCAGCAAGTATGAGATAGCAAAACAAATCCCATCTGAGGAAGAGGAAAAATAGCTTGAAGTTAAAAGTTTGTATTACAGCATGGAAGCACGGTGTTTGGACTTCACTTTCCTTACTTGCATTTATATGCATAAATAAATTAGATACATAGTACATTGTAGCCATTCAGGAGACGGTTGGATATTGGAGGGCAAGGGAATACAAAGCAGGGAAGAGATAGTATGTGCCAGAATGTTTTGGCAGCTTTCTAATCCAAGGGAAGTATCATTTGTTCTGCTGCTGATGGAAAGAATACAGAGCAGTACTTACACAGTCATTTTGTGTTTGGCCTGAGAAAGACAGGAAACGTCCCTTTTCTTTTATGCTAAAACCCACAGTGCTGTTAAAGCAGACTGTAGTTCACATGCTAGTCGTGGGGTGTGTTCCGCCTTTATTTAGAATGTTTAAGGGTTTGCCCAAGGGAGAAAAGTAACAGGTAGAAATGCTTAGTTACTGATTCTGATAGGTATTTCGCTGATCACTAAGCTTCCTTTTGACAGTGACTTTTTCATGTTTAGGTTTTCCGCTTTGTTTATTATGTTTCAGTGTATAAAAATTTCAACTTGGCATAGGTACATTATGATCTTCCCTTGGCTAATAGAAATAAAATGTCTTTCTGAGAACGTTGGCACATTCTCTTACAGCTTCTAACACTCCCTACTTTTAGAAAGGGACCGACAGACGTTTTGAAGATGCGGGAACTGGGTCTTGAGTACTTGTTCTGTCACGCATCAAGCCATGAAATGCTTGTTTGTGTTGCAGGTGGTTGTTCCAGGGACAGTTGTGTGATACAGGTTCTTATCCTGCCCCTGACATAGTGACAGATTCTCCTTCTTGCAGCAGAAAGAACCACGGTCACCATTTCGACCTTTCATTCTTATTAATTCCATAGTTGTTCACTGAGTACGTACTACGTCCAAAGTAGTGGATGGGATTCAGGCTCAAGTTCGTGAATGTTTTCAGGAAAACCATAAAGCCAGCCAAATGCTGGCTGCCAATTCTCAGCTCTCCTTTTTCTGAGTAAGCTTTTCCTTCCTGAGTCTGTCATTATTGAGCTTTGGGGGGAATGGCAGTAGCGTGACTAATTTCATCATTTATCACTCAGTTTTTTCTGTATTAGTATGTAAAAAAATATTGGCAAATTATGTGGGAGGAAGTAGATTACTAAAATGTAATGATAGACGGTTCCATTTCAAAAATAAAATATAGTTGGGGTGTCTGGGTGGCTCAGTAGGTTAAGCGTCTGGCTTAGGCTCAAGTACTGATCTCGTGGTCCACGGGTTTGAGCCCCATGTTGGGCTCTGTGCTGATAGTTCGGAGCCTGGAGCTTGCTTCGGATTCTGTGTTTCCCTCTCCCATCCCAGCCTGCCCCCCCGCCTTGCCCCCCCCTTGCAGTCTGTCTCTCTTTCTCTCTTTCAAAAATAAATAAACATTAAAAATTTTTTTTGAATACAAATGAAATATGGTTATGTTTACTTATATAGAAAAAAATCACCAAACCTATAATAGTGGTGGTATTAGAGATAACTTATTTTTGTTGTTGGTTTTGTTTTATAGGGAGGTAGCATTTCTTTTGTTTTTGTATTATTTAAAAAAACCTAGAAAGATATTTGACAGAATAAAACTCTGTGTGTGGGTTGCTGAATGCCTCATCACACATGAAAAAAGGTGTCTGCTGCTTAGATGAAACAGGGCCTAGATTTGCTATAAATCTGTCAGTGGAAAGATGGCAACAATTCTACTTAGTGTGCTGATAGAACTGCCACATGGTGTTGTTTTGCAGCATGGACTTTTCACCGTGTCAGATTTTCACTGCCACCCTTGCGTGAGAGGTGATAAATAAAACCTCACCCCTTTTGGTTGATATTCCCAAAAGATAACAATTTACAAAGCTGACCACTGCTACTTAAAATCTGTCTGAATGCTGGTAACAAATACTCTGAATGCTAGTAACGAGACCTGATTTGGGGTGGGGGTGGGGGGCGTTAACAGCATCTCCATGAGAGGAGTGCAGAGTGACCAGGAGTGTTTGTGGGATGCAGGGCACGAACACACTCCCTGTGATGGGCAGCTACTTTTCCCAGGACTCAGTGAAGCGTCCCTCCCGAGGCTGGTGATTAGTGTTCGCTGTGAGGATCCGTGTAGCTCCAGGAGGAGTCAGCTTTGAGAACTCTCTAGCCAAGTGTCTTGGGCTCCCAGGGAAGTGAGATCAGGCCCAGTAGAGCCTCAAGTCAGGGAATGCTGCTGGGAAGGGGAGGCAGCCCAGTTTACGTTTTTGGATCTGGACTTTCTAGAGATTATGTCTCTTCCCAGACTCAGAGGAATGAGAGATTGGAAAATGTTACAAAACGAAGCTCCATTGCTTGCGTGGAAACTGTCATTTAAACATGATTGCAGAAAGGGCGCCTGGGTGGCTCAGTCCATTAAGCATACAACTCTTGATTTCAGCTCAGGTCATGATCTCACGGTTCATGGGATTGAGCCCCACAACGGGCTCTGTGCTGAAGGTGTAGATTCTCTCTTCTTCTCTCTTGTCTCTTGCTGTGCGTGTGCTCTCTCTCTCAAAAAAAAAAAAAAAGAAAGAAAGAAAAAAGATGATTGCAGGAATATCTAGAATCCCCCCCCCCCGCCTTTTTAAGGAATATTTAGAATTCTTGATAGACATTGTAGGAAAACTGAAGACTGTGTAGTTTGAATGTTACAAGGAGAAGTCACACATTTTCTTTTCTTTCTTTTATTATGCTTTGAAATGTCTTTTTAAATTTTAATTCCAGTATAGTTAACATACAATGTTATATTAGTTTCAGGTGTACAATAGAGTGGTTGAACAATTCTATACTCAGTGCTCATCGTGATAAGTATTTTTTCTTTTATTTAATTTTTTTAAAAAAATTATATCCAAGTTAGCATATAGTGCAACAATGATTTCAGAAGGAGATTCCTTAGTGCCCCTTACCCATTTAGCCCATCCCCCCTCCCACAACCCCTCCAGTAACCCTCTGTTTGTTCTCCATAATTAAGAGTCTCTTCTGTTTTGTCCCCCTCCCTGTTTTTATAATATTTTTGCTTTCCTTCCCTTGTGTTCATCTGTTTTGTCTCTTAAAGTCCTCATATGAGTGAAGTTACATGATATTTCTCTTTCTCTGCCTCACTAATTTTGCTTAGCATAATGCCCTCTAGTTTCATCCATGTAGTTGCCAAATGGCAAGAAGAAATCACACATTTTCACTGAAAGTCACATGATTGCTTGGGATTGGGGTTAACTTTTTTGTAAGGTCCTGGAAGGCTCACTGCACTATCTCTTTCCCTCTCTGGAGCCAGCCAGCTCCACTGTCCCTCCACCAACACACAGACATACAAGCTTCTTTAGGGAGCTCTCATGACTCACTATGAGTATGTTTTATCTTTGCTGTTTTAGCTTGAAAGAGGGCTCAACCTAAACCTACTCCCTAGCTTTCCAACTGAAGTCAATTTTCCTCCAGATGCCCCTTCTACTGTACCCAGGCATCATTGCTGTGAAGAAGTGTCACAGCTTGGACCCCATGTAGGAGTTTCCCCAATGGCTCTTTCTATAGATCCACCCTCCTACCCCCACTTAGGCCTGGATCTTGGCTGTAATGGGCCCCACCCTCCACTAACTATTCCTTAATCCCCTTCTTGGTCTCTAGATTTTTAAAAAAATGTTTTATTTATTTATTTTGGAGAGAGAGGGAGTGTGAGCAGGGGAGGGGCAGAGAGAGGAAGGCAAACAGTCCCAAACAGGTTCCACACTGTCGGCACAGAGCCCAATGTGGGGCTTGAACTCACAAACTGTGAGATCATGACCTGAGCAGCAATCAAGAGTTGGACACTTAACCAGCTGAGCCACCTAGGCATCGCTGGGTGATTGAAATTACTATTTTGTTGGCTTCAAGTTGAGACTGTGCAGTCTGGCAGGATCCTGGGGGCAATCAGCTTCAATTCCCTTGTACATAAAAAGGAAACTGAGGGGCATAGAGCCTATTTCTGTGATTCTCTACCCCCGATCTCAGGAAACTTCTCCTTGAGTCTCCTTTGCTAGAGTACTCGGAGAGGCATGTTCATAATCACTTTTGCCCCTGGAATTGCTTGGAGTCAGATGCTTCTCTGAGGTACAAGGATAAGGTGTATGATTTGTCTCATTTTGTTATCCAGAGGTATTTGTGCTGTAAAATGGTCCTGGCTATTTCAGTGTCAACTATGCCTATGAGAAAAAAATTATTTAAATGTTAAGAAATTTGAATAGAAAATTAGAAAAACTACGGATCTTTATTAAATGTCAAACAACTTGCTAGTTCCAAATGAAACTTTCGTGGCAATGGAGTAGACTATGTAGAAGTAAGAATAAGGTTGGTAAGAGAATTGAAGAGAAGATTGGCTTAAACTGAGAAGAATTGGCAAATCAAGGTGTCTGTTCTTTTGGTGTGTTTTGTGTCTGCCACTTTTATTTAAGAAAGGCGGATCTATTAAAAAAAGAGGAGCAGTGTACAGCCTTTATTTTGGGAATCCTGCCACTTCCTCACCTATCAGAAATCTTCCTGGCTCAGGGCACCTGGCTGGCTCAGTCAGAAGAGTATGCGACTCTTGACCTAAGGGTTAAGAGTTCCAGCCCAAGGTTGGGTGTAGAGATTAGTGAAAAATAAAGAAACTTAAAAAAATTTTTTCCTGGTTCTGCATCGGGGGCATGTAAAGGCATCCCCCTACCCCCACCCCCACCCCCGCCCAGTTCACATGGGATGGTGGTCTCCTTTGGGAGCTGTGAATCACCACTTATACTGTGTACTGGGAACATAATTGAACTTCCTCCCTTTAAGGGTGGGAATAGTCATGGGATCCCTCAAGGGCCCTGTAAGTTTGTCAGGGAGCAGAATCTATGGTCTCCAACAGGAAAGTCTGGACATGTTCTGTAGAGATTTTCTTTGATCTGGGGGAGTTTGGCCAGTTCCAAAAGCAGCTGAAGCAGGTGTGGAGGGCCACCTGCATTTTGAATCATTCTGCCGATATGGAAGAGGCCCTGGGCATGGCGGTGGGAGGGGGTGGGTGGCTGGAGGGGAGGTGGTTTTTTTTGGTTGTCACAATAACTGCCAGACAGTGCTGGCTTTTTGTGAGTGAAGACTAGAGACAGTGAATAGGCTATGACTTATCTGTATGGTGATACACTTTCCCAACCAAATGTTGTCAGTCTCCTTCCACCCCCCGACAGGAAGCACTGGGTGAAAGTTGCTCGTACCTTAGCCCTGGAGAGGAGGAGGTTATGCATAATCCAGGGTCTGCTGTTTAGCAACTCGTCTTGTGCTCACCAAACAGATGGCTCTGAGTAATAGAATGCAGACAATAAGAATTTCCTAGGCTTTTAAGGAGTTTGTAAAAACAACGTTTCTAAGGTAATTCCAAGAAGAGTATTTTGTGGGTAAAGGCCATGACTGAATTATAATAATATTTTATAGTAGCATCTACTTAGAGAAGTTCTGTGTCATTAATGATGAACTGAATGCAGGTATTTTTAGAAGAGCAAAAGCTTAGTTTATTGCTCTCTGACGATGGAAGTAAAGTAACAGAGGTGCCAGGATCAAAACCTAACTTTTCCTCCACAGAAATGATATATTAAATCATAATTTACATACAGAAAATACAGCATGCTCTTACATGCAGGAGCAAGGTGTGTGTGTTTCTTGGGTGCACAACCATCAGGAAGTATCTCTACAATTCCTCTGATTAGGCTCGAGGTTAGGAAGTGGGAATGGAGTGGGCCTCCATTAGCATCCATCTGTTCAGAGCAGAAACCAAAGTGACGCTATTGGGCTTGAGTGGCTCACAAAAGGAGTGCGCTTGGATCCCAGAAGACTTTTTTATGAGGAAGTCTTTTTATTGTTTATTTGCATCTCATTGATCTCTTCTCTCCTTGAGAAAGAGGATGAGAATGAACAGAGAAAAGCAGTGTTGCCTCTTGGGGTTTATTTGGTTGAAATGAACCTGCTAATTCCTGCTTCTCCAGTGGCCACACTCCCTACCCGCCTCCAGGCTGGCACATAGGATATGTCCGTGCGTGTGCGGTTTCGTGCAAGGGGCTAGGGTTTGTTGTCTTTTTCACTAAATTCCCCGGGGCTTAGAACAGGACCTGACACATGGCAGGCCTTCAGTAGATATTTGCTAAAGGAATTTATAGAGTTAGCTGGAAACTTAAGTATTTATACATTTCTGTTTGCTTAAAGTATTTCCTTTTCTTCGCCCCAGAAGATATACCTATATTACCCTTGTAAGCCAGATTTTATAACATTTTACCTATCTGGGTGTAGGGAGAGTGGTAGGAAGAATTTTTTTTTTTTTTTTTAATCACACTCACAGCTACTCTATTGAATTTGCAAACAGAAAACCTTGTTCTGCCAAAGGTTGATTATCACAGTAAGTAACTGTGACCTTTGCTTTTCACGCCCTTGCTTTTTTTACTGCTGTCTCTGGGTTCTTTTGTTGATTTCGATCCCTTCTAAGTGAGAGTAGTCAAAGAGAGGGGAAAGATAAAAGGGAAATCAGAAAATTATTTTGGGCAGCTTGAGAGAGAGAAGTGAAAACCAAGATAATAGGACCAAAAGATTTATTTCTTCATCTGCAGACCTCTCTTTGCTTAAAATGATGTAATGCAATCCGTGTAAAAAGACATGAACTATAAAAATGATGCATCCATTTTGGAATAAAGTGGGGTACTGAAACATGAAATAGACTTAAGCAGCCCCAACAAGAGGGTGCAGGGAGGCGGCTCTGCCCTTCCTTTGATGTGATATAACATGTGTTTGTTTCTTAGCTTGACGTCCACGACAAGGTCAAGTTCTGACGCTCTTCAAGGCCGATATGCAGCCCCTGAACTGGAAGTAAGTTCATTTCCTCCCCTTGTTCTGCTTCATCTCAGAAGACCTATTTTCCAGGAAGGCTCTTTACGTGTTTTTGCATCTTTATTGATTGGCATTCCACGATCCCATTTTTCTCCTCGAAGAAGAATACCATATTTTTGTACAGAAAAAAACAATGCCTTGTAGATACTATGGGGATTCAAATGTACCTTTGATTTTCCTCCAACGAAATTAGCCTCTGCTGGGCCTTGCTGCCCATCTCCACCAGAGGCCTGGGTAGCTTGGTCCGTCTGCTCTCTGCTCTTTACCTCTGTCATAGTGGAATGTGTGTGAGTTTTGTTTTGTTTTGTTTTGTTTTGTTTTAACTTCTAGTGCATTCCTCTGATACATACCTGTCTTTGTCCTCCGTATATAGCATGACCATGAGGTTATATGTAATAGCTGTTTGAAGAAGGAGAAAAAGACAGAGAAGGGAAGGAACCAGCATCTGCTCCATGCCACACTGCTGAGCAGTGTCGGTGCATGAGCTTATTTAACTGTGTCCATTCCTTCACCGCGTAAAGAATTGTGAACAGTAGGTGTCCAGAGAATCAGGGTGGTGAACAGATGCCTGTCAGTCAGCAGAATGCCTGTTATTTCCTTATTTGTGCAAAAGTCTTTTGCTGGGGCCCTCTGGAACATCCACTAAGGTCAGGAAAGTTCTAATCGCATGGAGGCAGCCAGGAAAAGACTCAACCCTGAGCCCAGGAATGGAACAGGAGGTTCCAATGATGGCTGAGACTTACAGCACTTGCTATATGCCAGGCACTATTCTAAGCACTACATTTGTGATTTCATTTAATCCTCATAAAAACCCAGTAAGGGTTTGATCTCTGTTTTACAGAGGGGAAAAAGCAGAAGTTATTTAAACTTTTGATTGGCTGGCATGTAAACCGTGCGCTCTGGCTCCAAAGTCTGTGTTCCTGAATGCCCCTGCCTGAGAGCTTGGCTCCTGGCTCCTGACCCTGCTGCCAGCCCTGCCTGACACGGGCCCCAGACAGTATCCTGATAGCTTTCCCTGGATGGAAGAGCCCTGGTGTCTCTCCAGATACGGGCACTCTTCTGTGCAGCTGGGTCTCTGGGGAGGGTCTTTCCTGCACCTGACGTGGAGATAGTGAACATTATGAAGGGTTGTCAGTCTGCCAGCAGCATTCAGCAGCTCTGTCACTTGAAAAAGGAGAAATCTGTGCTGAGTCTGAATAGGTTACTGCTTATTACACAGAAAAGAATGGTCTGTAGAAGGCAGGCGTTTGTTCTCACCACTGGCTGGGTGACCACCTGCTGCGGTTGTGCCGCTGTGGCTTCAATGTCCCGATTGTGTAGAGTGTAAGCTCAAAGAACAGCAAGTCTCTAAGCTAGATTTAAGAGGATGTTTCCCTTCTCATTCTAAGGAAAGTGTCCCAGTGTTTCCTTCTGAACTGAAGAACGTGCAAAATGGAAGTTGGTTTGCTCTCCTTCTATCCCGTTTCACAGGATACACCTTTGAAAGAGAGAGTTGGTAGTTTCTTATGCTAAATGAAGCTTCAGAAGAACTAGGACCCCAGGGCACCATGTCTTGAGCCCACTGAATGATTAGACTGTATAACTTGATCCAAGATTCTGTCAAGGCCAATCCCTTTATTAGAAGTTTCCCTGATGTAGTAGGGAAACAGGGGCTTGGCCTTGAAGTATATAAAAGAGACAAAGGCTCAAGCACCTATGTCCTTATCCCTGGCTCTCTGCTCTTTCTAGTAAAAACGTGGTCAGCCAGGAAGTGCCAAGGACCCAGCATTTCCCACCTTGTCTTGGTACATGTAATGTTTTTTACCCCATTTACCAGAGTCCTTCTGCAATCATGTAGTAATTTTTCATAATCCAATTTTTTTTACTAGTTTCTTGTTTTGAGTAGGTCATGAACATGGTACCACGTTTAAAAGGTGCCAAAGAGTCTTCAAAGGAAAGCATCCCATCCATCCCGGTCCCCGGCTCCCCTGTCTCCATAGAGGCAGACAGTTGAGCAGCCTGATTTCATAGGAAATGGAGGTGGGCCTCCTGCTTCCAGACCTCATAGTCTTAACCATTTCTGATTCTGCCAGCTCCACCGTCTCCTACATTTCACATGCTACCTGTTGCCTTTTGTGAATTGCAGGCCTTGGATTTCCCATCCTGCATTTATATCCCAGCTCTGTGACTAAACTAGTTTTGTAACTTCAGGCCAGTTATTCACCCTGCCTGACCTCAGTTTCCTTACCTGCAAACGGGATAATAATCCTAGCAAGGAGAGCAAATCATCACCAGGAGTGAGCTGGTGAGAATCTGTCTCATTCACCTTGTGATTCAGGTTGAGTTTTCCAGAAGCAGCTGCCAAGGCAGAGTTGATGTGCAGTGTGTCTGTTAGTGATCAACACATGTGGAAGGAAGGAAGAGGAAGGAAGCAGAATTGGGCAGAGGGTGAAGTCGAAGGGCACCGGAGGCCGGACAAAGCCACTGTTGACTGTTTTGGTGCTCCAGAGCAGATAGGACCCATCAGAGCTGTACCCAAGGGTCAATGGCTGTGCCTTTACACCCCTGCCATGTGCAGTCATTTAATGTAGCAAAAAGCTTGCTGTAGGGCAGAGTAATGCTCTGTGGCTGAGCCAAAGCCTAGGAGCTGCCATCCAGAGGATGCTCACAGCATTCTAAGTAGCTAAGCAATCACTAAGTAAACACCTTTGAGGGGCTGTGCGTGGCTCAACCCATGTGTGTTGTGTTTCCTATCACCAGCACAAGAGCACTTGGGAAGAACAGATGCTTAATCAAATCCTTTGGAAGGGAAACAATGTGCGCAGTTCAGAGCCTGGGATACAGTTCCCACGGGAAGGCTTGGCATGTCACACAGACGGCCATTGGTACTTTACTGATGTGGAGGTAGAAAAGTGGGATGCAAGCCACCTGACTCTGTTGGGTTTGTTCTTCCAGGTGGCTCGCTGTTGTTTTTGCTTCGGCCCCGATGGAGAGGGTGAGTAGAGAACTTCCCCTTCCTTTCAGCCTTGTGGTGCTGCGGACCTGTGGCACTAGGCTGTAGGAGTAGATATTTGGGATTCAAGCAAAATTACTTGAATGGTAAGAGGAGATTCTTACTCCAAAGCTGCTTTACTGTTGATATACTTTCCATATTCTTCCTGGTTACTGGGTTTTATTTGTGTTCGTATTCTAGCAGGCAGGAATCAGTTTATGTTTTGGTTCACATGTAAGTTAAATTATACAGAGAGACTTAGAGAAGGAGGAAGTACATTTTTCAAAGGAATGAACATTTGGATCGGAGCATCCCAGGGGCTTGAGAACCCCTGGTGTGCTCCCTCACTGTCATCTGAGCTTATCATAAGTTCACGTTTGGAAGGGCTCTCTTCTGCTCTGTTCAAGTGAATGTGATGTTAGGTAACTCATCCTGTGGAGGACGGTTCTAGAGTTGGGGTGGGGGTTGTGCTTAGGGTGTAGATGTGGGTAAGGATGGCTTTCGACATCTTCCCTACTCAAGAGCCCCTGGGATTGAAGTTAGTGAGTGTGGCTTTGCTGACGTGGCAGGCGTGCATGTGTTCACTCTATGAGCTTGCACTCGCTCTGTCGTTCACAGACACTGAAGAGCAGCAGAACGTGAAGGAGGGACCACGGGTCATTTATGATGAGAAGAGAGGCACCGTCTATAGCTATTCCTATTTCCACTTCGTGTTCTTTTTGGCTTCCCTCTATGTGATGATGACGGTCACCAGCTGGTTCAAGTGAGTGTGACCCCTTGTCTTAGACCGTTTAGAAGGGATGATCTTTAGAAAACCAAGTGAAGTCTTATTCTTTAAGTGCTGAGGCCCACTGAGTCACAGACCTGATCTCCTACAGTTGGCTTAACTCTTCTCCAAGTCTTGCTGTGCTCACCTACACAGAAACAGTGCTGGGGTCTCAACAGTCTGTGGTTATGCTCTTAATTAACCCTTGGAATTGACGATGCTCCTTGCAGCTTTAAGAAAATAAAAGGTTGGGGCACTTGGCTGGCTCAGTCAGTGGAGCATGTAACTCTTGATCTCAGGGTTGTAAATGCAAGCCCCATGTTGGGTGTGGGGATTACTTAAAAATAAAACCGTAAAAAAAAAAGAAAGAGAAGGAAATGTTAACCGCATATGGGCAGTCTTGAGGAACACAGTAATAGTAATGGAGGAAGAACTTGGAATTCTATTTCTGTGTTTTTAAAAATTTTTAAGTGTTATTTTTGAGAGAAAGAGAGAGACAGAGCATGAGCAGGGGAAGGGCAGAGGGAGAGGGAGACACAGAATCTGAAGCAGGCTCCAGGCTCCGAGCTGTCAGCACAGAGCCTGATGCAGGGCTTGAACCCATGAACCATGGTATCATGACCTGAGCTGAAGTCGATGCTTGACTGACTGAGCCACCTAGGTGCCCCAGAACTTGGAATTCTTAAGCAGTCATCTGCTTTTTTTTTTTTTTTTAAGTTTTAATTTATTTAAGTCATCTCTGTGCCCAACATGAGGCTTGCACTTAAAACCCCAAGATCAAGAGTCGTGGCTCTTCTGACTGAGCCAGACAGGCACCTCAGCAGTCATCTGCTTTTTTTTTTTTTTTTTTTTAACATTTATTTATTTTTTGAGAGACAGAGACAGAACATGAGCTGGGGAAGGGACAGAGAGAGAGGGGGGTCACAGGGGGAGTCCGAAGCAGGCTTTATGCTCCAAGCTGTCAGCACAGAACCCGATGCGGGGCTCAAAGTCATGAACCATGAGATCATGACCTGAGCCAAAGTCGGCCGCCTAACCAACTGAGCCACCCAGGTGCCTCAGTCATCTGCTTTTAAGAAAGAGAAAATACCTGTTTTTTCTACTCTGTATTTTGTCTTTTTAAATTTTACACTTTTATTATGAAAGTTTTAAACATCTTTTTTAAAAAGACTGACATAGAAGCATGGGAAGTGACAGTGTCCTCTCCCTGACCCCCCGCTATGCCCCACGACTACTGCTAACATGGTGCATACTCTTTCACTCCTTTTCCATGCATTTACAAGCCTGTGTCACCTTGAAATTTTTATTTATTTATTTATTTATTTATTTATTTATTTATTTATTATGTCTTTAAATGTTTGATAATTTTTAAGTGTTGAGAGGGAGAGAGCCCACGAGCTGGGGAAGGGGCAGAGAGAGAGGGAAAGAGAGAATCTCCAGCAGGCTCCACACTGTCCACGCAGAGCCCGACGTGGGGCTCGATCTCATAAATGTGACATCATGACCTCAGCCAAGATCGAGAGTCAAATGCTTAACTGGCTGAGCCACCCAGGTGCCTCAAGCCTGTGTCATTTTTTAAAATATAAGTATGATTATACATGTTTCCCCTTGAGATTTTTTTGTTTCATTTTGTTTTTAAAGCTAACAGTACGTGATGGGTCTGACTTTCCCTATCACTGCATGGAAGTTCTTTTTAATTCTTTTTTAATCACTTTTCACTGATCCAAAGTTTTTGTTGGATAATAATTTGTTATAACTCAGAATAAACATGGGATAGACATTTAGGCTCATTGTGCTTTCTTTTATCCATTCTTTCAGCAACTGTGTGAGTGGCTCCCATGTGCCATGCTGTTACAAATGGCAGGGCTTATAATTGAATGGATGACACAGACCATGATCCAAATCAAATACAGTGTGCTAGGTAGTGCTAATAACTATTAGGGAGAAAACTGAGGAAGAGAAATGAGGAGTAACAGGTGAAGTTTGGGGATGGTGGAGATAGCAGAATGCTTCACTGGGGAGATTTTTCCAGAACATCTTGAGGGAGATGAGAGGAGGGAGCTTCTAATATGTCCCTAATGCTTCTAATGCTTTGATAATCCCTAGAAAGGTTTGGTGTGGAAAGCTTAAAGGAGAGAGCTTTAATCAATAAGGCAGAAAGGAACAGATGTTGAGAATGTGGGAAAAATTGGAAGCTCTTATACTCCTGGTAGGATTGTAAAATGGTGCTGCCACTTTGGAAAATAGTTTGGCAGTTCTTCGAGATGTTAAACGTAGAGTTATGACACAATCTGACAGTTCTAATCCTAAGTATCTACCCAATAGGGAAAAAAAAGTACGTCCACACAAAAACTTTGACCTACGTGTTTATAGCAGCCTCATTTATACTAGGGAAAAGGAGAAACCACCCAAATGCCTATTGGCCGATGAATGGATGAACAAAATGTGCCATATGCGTGCAATGGAATATTACTCAGCCATAAAAAGGAATACATGGTTAAACCTTGAAAACAGTGGGCTTGGTGAAAACCAAGAGGCCACATGATTCCATCTCTGTGAAATGTCCCGAGTAGGCAGATACATAAAGATAGAAAGTAGGTGGAGAAATGGTGTAAGTTGTATCTGAATTGAGCTGTTAGGAAAACAAAACAAAAAAACAGAAAGACTGGAGGGGATGGAATCGGGGAGACACCGGCTGGAAGATACCATCCCCCCCCCCCCCCCCCCCGTTCTGTTCCTGCTCTGACCACGGCTGGGTCTCTTGTTTCCACAGCTATGAAAGTGCCAACATCGAAACCTTCTTCAGCGGAAGCTGGTCCATCTTCTGGGTCAAGATGGCCTCCTGCTGGATGTGTGTCCTGTTATACCTGGGGACCCTGGTTGCTCCCCTCTGTTGCCCCTCTCGGCAGTTCTCCGTGTGAGGGGCATCTGACCAGGCCCGCAGGCTGGAAGTGACATCCTTTGAACAAGGGTCTGAGTAGTGACTGGTGCTTTGTGAAAAGCTAGCATCTTCAGGCTGGTTGAAGTGGGTCTGAAAAGGCCTTCAGAAAAAAACATCACCTGATTAGCTTTTTAATTCTGAAAATCAAAAAGAAATTACCAGTTTATCCCAAAAGAACTGAAATTTTCAGCCAGGCTGATCCCAAGTGATCATGTATTTTGTGTGCGTCATAACCCTAAAAACTGGAATAGGCTAGTATTTTGCTTCTGTATGTTTTTACCAAAATAGGGTTTGGGGCACGGCATCTTATCACAGGGATACAACTTCCTTTGTGTGGCCTGTCATTCTTATCCTTGGAATAGAAAAACATGCCAAAATCTTGAGCCCTCAGCCCCTGATAGAATGCAGACCCCTCTCACACACCTCAGCTCGGAGTCTCGTCCCCAGCGGGCTCTGCAGACAGAACTCAGCCTGCAGGCCCCTTGCTCACAGCTACTTGGTATTTATAGGGTCCAAGAGGAAGCACCTGCTTGCAACTCCACCCTTGTGCTGTTTCCTCCTGGCCCCCCAGCATTTCCCTTTGAAACTGTGATGCTGGGAATCACAGCTTCACTCTCTGCCCTTGCCCTTCCCAGAGGTCCCCTCTTCTTTCTGGGCTGAGTATCTTTGCTTAATAATGTGAAAAAGCACAATTTTGCCATCACTACCGTGTGGTCCCCACTGTATTCTTACTACCTGATCTGAGTTACTGCAATAATTGTGACTCCCATTTGTGGTGTTTTTCACATGATTATAGAACAGTATTCGGGTTGTTTTCTTCGCTTGAACAATGGAGGGCTATAGTTCTTATAGTTCTCACATGTTTGTACTTATTAATAGTAATAATATTCTAGGACCTTACCTGAAAAGTTGCTTCTTGACTGAAGCCTGCTGTACCCCTCTTTCATTTATGAAAGTCAACCAGTTTCTCTTCCACCTTGAGGCCTTTGAAATTCTAACAACAAAAGGGCTTTTGTTTCCAGGATCTGTGATGTGACCATGGCATTAATATCCACTGTGGTTTTTTAGAGTAGATTTGCTGAGGTAAGGATCCCAGGCAGCCCCTCCAACTGGGCTGACCAGATAAAAGCCTATTATACAAGTTGTAGAAATGGCCAAATATACCTAGAAGAAATGGTGAGGGGTGGGGCGTGGGGAGGGGTATTTAATTAAGCCATAAACAATGTCCATGGAGAGTTCCAAAAATACATACTTGGAACACTCCTAGGAGATGTGACTTTACGCAGCTGCCCAAGAAGATTTCCATGTTCAGTGTTGCTCTCCTCAGTCACGGAAGAGTTTTCTCAGTAGAAAGGCCGTTAGAGACCCCAGTGGAGACACGGTGGGGGTGCTTCTGTTAGTGTCTCACACAGGGTGGAAAGAGTCCTCTCGAGCTCCCTGGCCATAGAGGGTCTGAAAATGGAGAGACTCGGCCTGTATTTTGTGTGCCCTACTGTACGAGTTGGGCAGAATTGGGTCCCAGTGTGCCAAAGTGCTGGTGTGGGGAATTAGTCAAATTCTTCATTTCTACTCCTTTGCCCTCCTCCCAGGAAAATCAGAGGGGAAACAAATTCAGTGGATGAATTCCTGTAGACTCTTGCCTTGTTTATAATGTTTGAGGTTCCATTTATAAAGGCACTCGTGTGTGTGTGTGAGGGCCTTGTTTTGTAAACTTCATCCATTTGATTTTTTTAGGCCAGAGGCTCTTGGAGCTTGGCAGTTGACAGGTCCTCTGGAGTCACAAAATGGATAGCCGCTGTGTGCAGCCCCTATTAAGCCGGTGGGACTGGGGCCTCTGTGGGTCGGGGACAGATCGAGGGAGTGGGCTGTGGGTATGTGTGACAGCCCCCCGGGAGAAGCTGCCACAGTGCGGTAGTGCCACGGGGCTCTGGGTAAGCTGAGGTTGGCTTTGGGAACTCAAGAGCTGGGATGCCAGTTTCAATGTGGGTTTCTTTCTGGTAGGGTCTAGCTGGCTTGAGCAGCCAGCTGTGTGACTTTAGAACTGGTCCTCGGCAGCTTACAGTCCCTTTGACAAGGCTGCTGTTACTTGGCTGTCCTTCGTTGGCCAACTTCCCCTGCAGAAAGAAGCTCAGGGAAACACAAAGGAAAAGGACATCCACTGCCAGTGGCCGAGCCCTCAGAGCTTCCTTCTTTAGCTGGCCCAGCCAATCCCATGGTTGCCAGCTGCTTAAAACTTGGTTTGTGTCCCAAAGTTCTTGAAGTTTAGTCTGACGCGAGAGGAACGGTTGCAGCCACTGATTTTTATGCTCAGCTGGGTATTTAAGCAAGTTTATCTGAATGGTGCACGCGATGTGGATATACTCTAAGGATTGAGGGCATACAAATAAGTTGACTTTAATGATTATTAATTGTAATAAACAATACTCAGGTGATGAGTCAACGTTTGTGGGTTTAAAGAACCTACATTTTTATGCTACCGTGATTTAAGAAACTGGAAAAATTGTGCCAATTGCTTTGAGTTGCTGCCATGGTGTTCATTTGAGAAATTCACTGATCTTTTATTAATGTAATTTTGCTTCCTACAACTTTTTGTACGTGATTTAAAAAAGTACATTCCCTGTAGCTGCTGGTCAGACTCCTTTAGTGATGAAAGTGGAAGAAGTTTTTTAAAAAAACTATGTGTATGTTTCCCCTGTGCTATTCCTTCCATGTGGAGATTTTTTCCCTTCTCGTTTTCATGAGTAAAAACACTAAGTGGGGGAAGGGAGTCTTCTGGGAATGTTGCTGTGTACCTAGATGTGTCACCTTACTGAGGGCCAGAGATGTTTCTGTCCCAGGCTTTTGGCAACCCGACTTCATCCAGACTGGGTTGAGTTTTTTAATACTGGTTAGTTGGTTTTGCTTTTGTCCTCTTGGTTTCTTGGAAATGGCTTGAAAGAATTGTTCATCAGAGATACTTGGGGCTCTTTTGTGAATAGATGGACTGTGTGCATTTGAGCTGTTGGAGGGTGGGGTTACTGGAGATTTGGGGAACCGCCTCCCATTGCACCCCCACACCTCATTGTTTATTTCCAGTTCCTCAGAGGAGCCTTTGTTCTGGATGACCTTCATGCAGTGCTAATCCCACTTCCACCCCCATATTGTCCCCCTCTCTCTATTTAAGATTATGTACTTATTTAATTTTAGCCAGAAGTTTACCACCATTGGTGCTGGTGCTTCATGTTACCCTGCAAAGGGAATTCGAGAGCCTGTGTTTAAGCTGCCTTGGCTTTTTCCTCCTCTGACTGCCTTTCTAAATAGCATTTCGTTTTGGCATACATTTGTATTCTACTCCTCTTGGAAATGAAGGTGATTTGGGCTAAGTCCCTACATGTTCAGAGAGAACGCTGGGTCCTCCTTAAGGACAGTGCAGTAGCCAGTCTGCTCATAGAATTCTGCTCATATCCAGCTCTATCAGGGTATTCTCCTGATAGAATGAGCTCCCTCTGCTTTGTTCTTAAGGTGGCCACCATGTGTCCCACCATCTTTAGGATGCTTGTAAAGCCTCAGACACTTTAATCTAGTGTTGCATTTCAGGCAGAGGTATGTTGGACCTGTTGGACCTACCTTACAGGACTAGAGAGCTGTTCACACAGATCTTTCAGACTAATGCTGGTCATTCTAAAGATCTTTCTCTTTTTAAAATTTTTTTCACCAGTAGATCATTTGCAGAGGCGTTCGTTTTGAAAGGAGGAAATATTTGGCTTTTACCAAAGAGGGTTTTTTGTTTGTTTGTTTTTAGGCAAAATTCCTTCAGAAAAAGTTAATTGGGTAAGGATACATTAAAAATGCCTATGTCCAAATCTACTTCTGTAGGGGTTTGATCATATTTATGTGAGTAAAATGATGAAGCATTCTTTAAGGTAATCCTCTGGGTGAAGGATCCTGGGAAGTTCTCTCAGGTAAAGAAAGCTTGCAACAGATGTGTAATATATGTCTTGAGAGTTATTTATGAGAAATTTAAGAGGATTATTTTGCTTTCCTATATTAAAGATTTAAGTTCTTTTTTTACTTTGCAAAAAAAATTCTACGAAAGTTTTATAATCATAACTTTGTTAATTTTTTAAACTTTTGTGAAATAATTAGCTGTAGCCAAATTATTGGTTATGTTTTGCTATATTAGAATTTGAAATGTATAATGTGTGGTAAATTTAGTCTTGGATATGGCTATAGTTTTGGTAACTTTTTAAGAAGTTATTTTCTACCCTCTAGACACAAAGGCAACTGTGGGTTTGTATTTGTTTTTTGAATGCTAATTTTTCTATGAAGCATCTGAAGTTGACCAGTCTTTTCCTAGGTAGAAAACTCAAAACTTGTTAACTCTGTACTTTAATAAAACTTAAAATGGAGAACTATGTTGTTGTTTTGTGTGTGTGTGTGTAACTGAAGTCTTCTAGGTGGTGTTTTCCAAAGTGTTGAAGTGTTAATCAGCTTTCTCTCAAGCTTCATAGAGTCTGTTCCAATTCTTGAGAACGAAAATAAACACAAAAACCCAAGTTTTTTGTTTCCTTCACCCCTGAAAACTTCTGTGGTCTTGCTTTCTTTTTCCCATTCTTGGGCTGGTGCTATACTTTCTTAAATATGAGAATTAGAGTAAGTCTTCTGATCTAGGATAGTGTTTCACTTATGTAAGTTTTTAAATTTTTTCCTTTTTTGGTAAGTGTTTATTTTTGAGAGAGAGTATGGGTGGGGGTGGGCAGAGAGAGAAAGAGACAGAGGATCTGAAGCAGGCTCTGCACTGACAGCAGAGAGCCCAATGTGGGGCTCGAACCCACCAAGTGTGGGATTGTGACCTGAGCCAAAGTTGGTTCTTCTAGTCTTTTTTTTTTTAAATTTTTTTTCAACGTTTTTTATTTATTTTTGGGACAGAGAGAGACAGAGCATGAACGGGGGAGGGGCAGAGAGAGAGGGAGACACAGAATCGGAAACAGGCTCCAGGCTCTGAGCCATCAGCCCAGAGCCTA